GCGACACATCGAAGGCGATCTGGAAGCCATCCCCTGGAGCGAACAGGGTCTTTCACCCGAGACCTCGACCATCAGCGCACAACTGCTGGCACTGAACGCAAAGGGCTGGTGGACAGTAGCGTCGCAGCCCGCCGTCAACGGCGTCAAGTCGTCCGACCCCATCTTCGGCTGGGGCCCCAAGAACGGCTACGTGTTCCAGAAACCGTTTGTCGAGTTCTTCATCCCCTCGGCCCAATTCGCCACGCTCAAAGCCCGCCTCGACGCGCACGACCAGATCACGTACTTTGCCGGCAACGCCGCGGGGGACTTTGAGGCTAGCGACGAGGGTAGCGTGAATCCGGTGACGTGGGGCACCTTTGCGGGCAAGGAGATTGTCACGCCGACCATTATTGAGAGCGTGAGCTTTCGGAGCTGGCTCGAGGAGGCGTTCAGCATCTGGAATGAGTGGCAGAGGCTTTATCCCACGAAGAGCGCGTCGGGGAAGCTGCTGGGCGGTCTCAAGGACGATGTGTGGTTAATCAATGTGATTTGGGGAGATTTTGTAGAGGGAGATGGATTGTGGGAGTTTTTGAGCGCGTAGGGGGGTAGTCACAAGTCGTAATTCTATGCTAGATTCAGCCAGCTCGAGGCTTGCGCAGACATCAGATACCTACCGGCAGCGGTGCATCGTTATACTCCAGAAATTGGGAACAAGATCAGATGCACACAATATGACGCTGATGTTTGTGAAGGAAAGCACTTGATTGCTTGGGTATCTATTTCAGAGTATGAACCGCCATGCATGGTGATTACACATGTTCACCGTGTTTTCCTCTCCACGCCCAAACGCCGTTCATATGCTAGACCTGTTAAGAAATGCTATCGCCCCTATCCGTTGAGCTAATCAACGATGTCAAGTGACTTCATAGCTTCCCAGGTCTTTTGGTAGTCTCCGCCGTTCCATATGTGGATCGATAGAGGTTGTGAGCGCGTACAATGCCTCAAAGCATGCCGGCAGCGGCCAAGTCATGATAGACCTTCTCAGGCATGACGTTGCCCTCATTGTCCTCCATCTCGACCACATTCTCAGCAAGGGCCTTCTCCTTCTTCTTGTCCTTCTGGATCTTGGCCCACAATGCCTCGGCTTCCTTGATGCTCGTGATCTCTCGGAATAGCGTTCCATTGTTGATTCCAAGACATTTCAGGCCGTGGATGTGGCGAGCTTCGTTGAAGTGCTTGTCATAGGCGCGCCTTCCCATGTAGACAAAGTTGCCGCAGATCTCACAAGGAAACTCGACTCCAAGACCATGAAGCTTATACAGCCAGAAGGGAATAGGCTTACCATCCCAGGCCAGCGGCAGCTTCAAGGGGTTGTAGATTTTGTCCTCGCCGTCCGAGGCTTGATCATCATCATTCGCAGCGGTATCTGGTGCATCCGAGTACAGCTGCTCCAGTTCTTGCTGACGCTCGCGGTCTGTCATGCCCTGCCTCCGCTCCACGTTGACCTTGGTGTCTCCGCGCTCCGTCTGCATGGCGGCAGCCAGTCTCTTGATGCGGTACTCCTTCTCTGCAATAGCTCGCTCCTTGAGGCGCTCCATGTTCGCAGAGGCACCGTTAGTTTTTGCACCGTTAGTGTTTGCACCGGCATTTGCAGTGGTTCCAGCTTCGCCGAACTGCAGGGCCCGCTTGTGTTTCCTGCCTGTCAAGTGGGCTTCGTAGACGGTCTCCTTTGCGAAGGATTTCTTGCATGCCGAGCACCAGATACCCTCGGCTGGAGCGTCGCTGTTGGCTGGCGCGTTCGCTGGGGCGTCCTGCTCCCAACCGGGCACCTCGCCCTTGTCCCAGAGCTCAGTGAAGTCGCGGTCAAAGCTAGCGAACAGCTGATCCAGGTTCTCCAGAGGCTTGATTCGCTGCATGAAGCCCTCGAGGTAGTCTTGCAGAGCTTTGAGATAGCTGAAATAGTGCTCCGACTTCTTCTGCTCACGGCTGATGTTGCATTCGGGGGGAGTGAACTTGTCGAAGGCGTCGAGGTACTGCAGGTAGGTGAGACGGCGGGCATTCGAGGAGAGCTTGAGGTTGAGGTACTGGTCGTGCAGCGTGGTCAGGTCGAGGAAGCGGCCGAAGCCCTCCTCGCCCGTGAACATGCGCTCGACAGCCTTGACCCACTTGTCCTGCTCCTCGGGGGTGCGCTTCTTGTAGGCCTTCTCGAGGTTCTCGACGGGCTTGTTGGGGTATCGGCTGTGGAAGTCGTTGATTTCGGCCACTTTGCTCAAGAAGGTTTCCATGGGGTCGCCTTGCGTGAGGGCGCGGATTTCGTCGGCCTTGATGCCGTCGACATCGCGGTAGATGTCGCGCAGGCGCTTGGACTGGGCCTCGTGCTGGTCGACGAAGGACGCGATCTCGTGGTCGCGTGCAAGCCGATCGCGATGCTGCCGGATTAGGTCACAGTGAGAGACTGGGCTGCGAGGGCTACTTACCTGGGCCGGGTCGTCGAGAAAGCGCTGGGCAATGGCTTCCTCGATGCGCTCCAGGTCCTCGTGGGTCTGGCGCTGTTCTTCGATCAGCATGTTGCCGGGTGCGAGGAGCTGGCTGTGGAGCTGTCTGGTTGCTGCGAGAGGCCGCGGCAGGAGGATAAATCATGGCGACGGGCCGCGCTAGGGGAGAAACGTTTGGCCGCGACGCGTCTCCGACCTCCGACTGCCGACTCGCCGAGTCTCCGCAACTTTCTTTCTGCGTCAACTCTCTGTGCCTCTGTGCCTCTCCATTGCTCTCCTCGACAGCCGCCCCACATCCACACACGCCCGCCCACCCACAGCGCCCACCCACAACTGCCGCCGCCATGGCTGAAGGCATCGACCGCAATGCCGACGACAAGATGGAGTTCAGCACCTCCAAGGAGGTGACGGTCGCGCCCACCTTCGAGGCCATGCACCTCAAGGAGAACCTGCTGCGCGGCATCTACGCCTACGGCTACGAGTCGCCCTCGGCCGTCCAGTCGCGCGCCATTGTCCAGGTCTGCAAGGGCCGCGACACCATTGCCCAGGCGCAGTCGGGCACGGGCAAGACGGCCACCTTCTCCATCTCCATCCTGCAGGTCATCGATACGGCCGTCCGCGAAACCCAAGCACTCGTCCTCTCCCCCACGCGCGAGCTCGCGACCCAGATCCAGTCGGTCATCACGGGCCTCGGCGACTACATGAACGTCCAGTGCCACGCCTGCATCGGAGGCACCAACGTGGGCGAAGACATCCGCAAGCTCGACTACGGCCAGCATGTCGTGTCAGGAACCCCAGGCCGCGTTGCTGATATGATTCGTCGTCGCAACCTGCGCACGCGCAACATCAAGATGCTAGTCCTCGACGAAGCCGACGAGCTGCTCAATCGAGGCTTTCGCGAGCAAATCTACGACGTCTACCGCTACCTTCCCCCTGCCACTCAAGTCGTCGTCGTCTCGGCTACTCTTCCCTACGATGTTCTTGAGATGACGACCAAGTTCATGACAGATCCTGTCCGCATCCTCGTTAAGCGTGACGAGCTTACCCTCGAGGGCCTCAAGCAGTACTTCATCGCCATTGAGAAGGAAGAGTGGAAGTTCGATACCCTCTGCGACCTTTACGACACTCTCACAATCACCCAAGCTGTCATCTTCTGCAACACGCGCCGCAAGGTTGACTGGCTCACTGACAAGATGCGCGAGGCAAACTTCACAGTGTCCTCCATGCACGGCGATATGCCACAGAGGGAGCGTGACAGCATTATGCAGGACTTTCGCCAGGCCAACTCCCGCGTCCTCATCTCAACCGATGTCTGGGCGCGCGGCATCGATGTTCAGCAAGTATCACTAGTGATCAACTACGACCTCCCCTCGAATCGCGAGAATTACATTCACAGAATCGGTCGAAGCGGTCGCTTTGGACGCAAGGGCGTTGCCATCAATTTCGTCACCCAAGACGATGTGCGCATTCTTCGTGACATCGAATGTAAGCCGCTGCGCCCTTCCCACCTTTTCAGTGTGCTAACAATCTGCAGTGTATTACTCTACACAAATCGATGAGATGCCCATGAACGTTGCCGATCTTCTCACGTAAACGGACATCGCACCCTGTATAATGAACGTATAACGTCTAACGCGAATGATACCCGGCTCCAGGCAGTGCCAATAGGTCGTCCGTAGAGATGCTAAAGGAATGAAAGCACGTCTGCTTCGAAGGGTTGAGTGCGGAGGACTGGGCCCAATCGGCAATTAGTGAGTTCTAGTCATGATTCAGTCTCGTTTGCCATAGCTTACCCCTTGCCCGAGCAGACCTAAATTGAACTTGAATTTCACACTCATTCGCATCGAGGACAACTATCGTAAAGCTTTCGGCTTCTCTTTGATACCAATTTAGTGCTCAGCATTTTGGAGCTTTTCTTGATGTATCAGTGCCCACCTTGAGCTACTAACATCCGTAGTACTCCGTTGGAGCATCTAGCGGCTGCAAAAGTTCTTGTTACCTTTTGAATCAGGTAGAGCATCAATGTGTTGGTCGTGTGCATAGTGTGAGCATTCCAAAAATTCATTCTTGTGTCTTTGAAAAGGTCGGCTGAAGTCGTAATTGCTGGATGTCTTGTGCGCTTGTTACGTTCCAAAAGTCTTGGTGTCAGACAGTCGGATATAGGTACAATGTCAGCAGAGTCAACAACAGGATTCGGAAAACAACCTTGGAAGACAGCCTGCCGGAAGGCAATATCCGTTCACAGACTTGCAAAGCACGTCTTCCAGCATGAGACATGCCAGCTCGCACTTGCATATGCTCAGCTCGACTTTGGACGCCTCATTTCCTAATCAAGTCAACCACGCGAAGTCCATCCTCAGCACTTCAGCTCAGTCCATGCGGCCCCCAAGCACTCCCTGTCGCCCTCCTCATCCTTCCGACAGAGTCCATAGTGCTTGCTCTTTATCTTTTCAGTATATAATGTATCTATTTGCTTCTATAATCATACAAGAAGACAAGCGCCAAGCGCCTCACGTGAGGCGTAAACTCCCCTTGGTGTAGTGGTTATCACGCTCGACTGTAATATTAATTGTATTCGAGAGGTCCTTCGTTCGATTCGTTAGAGGGGAGATTGATCTGTCTGATTTTTTTGCTTGATTATAAACATCCACGATTGGGGCAGCGAAGGATGCTTTCTGGGCAGCTGAACCTGGTGCAGGGGTGGAGCATTAGGCGGTAAACATTGGTCGCCTATGAAACTATCGTGCAGACGCGATGCTGCACTTTGATAGAGGGGAAATTGTTATTAACGGTGTCAAAGGAACTTTTCGCTCACCATGTGTTTGACTCTCCACCCAGTTCGAGTCGGGGTTTACGAGACTTGTCCTAGATACACATTTCAGACTCCTCAAGTACAAAAGGAGGACCAGCGGATAAAGTTTCAGCAGAGAAGCCAACCTAATGGGAAGTTTCTCTAGTCTTGTTCCTGAAGATTGGAGGTAGAATGAGATCGGCTTTCTCCCTTTAACAGTGTGAAAGGTGAACGAGTAAATGTTGCATAGACTACGAACCAAGTACTTAGTGGGTCGAATCGGTGTTCCGCCCAAGCACAGAAGGATCACACCAGCTGAAAGGAGAAGGCGAAGACTGCCAATTTTCGAAGACAGGGCGCTTCTCCTTCTAACAACTGGGAAATGAAATGATTGGGGCCTTTACTTGCCATATGGAGATCAAGACACCGAATCTCCTGTCGTTAGGCTTGGAAATACTAGGCACTATTGAGGGTATCCGTTCCCCGAGGTCCAAGACCATTCTCCGAAGACAGCCTGTACGCACGCATTCTTGCAATTAGCCGTAGTGTGAGTTAATAGCTTGATAATTGGCCCTGGCTGTTAAAGAACGGATGAAATCAACCAAAGTTTAGAGTCTCCGTGATGTCAGTTCGCGGTGGAGGCGGGGTGTCAGAACCAGAAGATCACATCGGGTAAGAGCCGCCGACTCCTCCGGAGCGGGCAGAATTTCCCATGTTCGAAGTATGCACCTCGTTGAAACTTCAAAAGACGTTCACTTCTTCTACAGACGTTGTGGAAATATCTTCGTGTGCAGCACAGAAACAATGGCTTCCTCATCAAATGGTCATACAAACGGCTACGAGGAGTCTCCAATCGGACATCGTCTATTTACTGTCAATAAGCCACCGTCATTGGACGACTTCAAAAGGCTTACGACTGAGTCGGTGTCAGTTCACTATCCGCTGGCCAACACCATTACAGCCAACGTGCCCATATACAAGCTTTCCGACTACACAACACTAAGCCCCGAGCAACTATCAGCGTTGCAAGATGAGTGGAATCATATCCTCCTTTCAGGGCCAGGTGTGTTTGTCACAAAAGGTCTATATAAGGATACCGCACTCCTCGACAAAGTGAACGAAGTGTACGCGAGTATCATCGACGAAGAAAAGAGGTTGGCTGGCAAAAAGGGCGATCACTTCGCCGGCTCGGGTGCAAACGACCGGATCTGGAACTCATTCTCCAAACACTGCATCCAGGATTCAGAGTCTTTCTTGCAATACTACGCAAACCCATGGTTGCCAATCATATCATCTGCATGGCTGGGGCCCCATCACCGCTTGACCGCTCAAGTCAACATTGTTAAGCCTGGGGCGAAAGCTCAGATATCACACCGAGATTATCATATTGGCTTCCAAGACAATGAGTCATGCGCAGGATTTCCCAAGGCTCTTCAGATTGCATCTCAGCTCCTTACTCTTCAAGGCGCAGTTGCGCATTCCGATATGCCCTTGGAAAGTGGTCCAACCCGCCTATTGCCCTTCAGTCAGATGTTTGAGGAAGGCTACATGGCCTATCGAATCCCCGAATTCCAAAACTATTTCTTGGAGAAATATGTTTCGGTTCCCTTGGAGAAGGGTGACGGTCTCTTCTTTAATCCGGCATTATTCCATGCTGCAGGCCAGAACGACTCCGCAGACGTGATGCGATCGGCGAACCTCTTACAAATCTCATCAGCATTCGGCAAGCCTATGGAGACAATTGACACGTATCCGTTGATTGATCTAACATGGAATAGTCTTGTAGAAAAGCATAAGAGGGAGGGGCTGAGCGCGGAAGTGAAAGCCTTTGTAGGCAATGTCGCAGAAGGTTACCCATTTCCAACAAACTTAGACAGAAGAGTGCCTGAAGCAGCAGGTATGGCTCCTGAAAGTGAGCAAGGCCTTTTATTGAGAGGTCTTAAGGAGGAGTGGACAAAGGGCGACGTGATGAACGAGTTGAGGAAGATGACGAATGACTCTAAAGCTGGATGATTTCGTATAGTGCGCATTTCAGAATTGCGACTGCTCTTTCGCATTCAAGATGTCGCATAGTTCTTAACTTTAGCTTTTGATGCATGTTGGCTTCGAGTACTTAGCTGTATAATGTGAACAAACAACTTCGAACAGGTGGCTTGTCCACGACATGGCTTGCTCTACACACTTGCATTCGCAATTCACAATTCTGGCTGGTGAAAAACCCTTGCTGTCAGTTGCATCGTCATAGCGAACAAAGACAGTGCATTCTCGCTTCACTCATTCACATCATTTAGAACTGTTTGTCGCAAAATATGCAAGAACTGACAAGAGAGATCCGTGTGAAGTACTCTTGTTTGCACACACGCTGGACACAACGAAATGGACTGTGACATCGCGCTTGGTGTTTAAGCCCCCGGAGACTGCTTTTATAAATGAGCTCCGAGTTCGAATCGTATCTCCTCAGCAAAGAAAGTTCCACTTTGACTCCACGGCGATTCTCTGCCACTTCATGTGACACTCAAGTCATTCATAACATCACACATCACTTCAACAGTACCCAATTGGCCGATCCCTCCAACCGTACAAGCCCTCAAACAATCGCTACCTCCAACTTTTCAATCCATTAATTAACCTCAACAACACCGTCAATATGCCCGTCACCTCGCCCGACAATCTGCTCAAGCTCGCAGCCGAACTGTCCAAACTGGGCACCGAGCTAGCAGTCGCCAGCAAGACAGTCTCCACGGTAGCCACAGCGCTGGAAGAGGAAGCGGCAAACATCGCTTTGGAAAATTCCAGGCAATGGGGCGTGGACGTGTCGGTTGCGGTGCGGGCAGGTCACTACGGAGCTGGAGGTCCACATAGTGTTGTCGAAGTGAGGAAATAGTCAGGATTGTGCATGTACCGATTGTGGACGAGAGTAGTTTCGGCGGCAATGTGGGTTTCAGATGGAGTGGCTTCTTTGCTCTGTCATATCGTGGTGTGCGATGGATACGGATTTGTTTCAGAAGTAGATCACGACCTTAGCCTGGTTATGCACTGTGGCAAACGTCACTAATGATTTCATTTGGGATGTTTCCTCTTTAACTAACAATTATTTGAAGACCGATTCCGTCGAGTGCATTGACACTCGACGATAGTTCTGGTGTAACAAATCTTATCACTGAGCAGAAAAGTGAATTTAACCCATCTAGGCGAAGAGTGTTCAATACCCGAGAACCAAGAATACATTTGAAATTTCTGACTACTTCCAAAATGTGAGAGTGCAGCTCATGCAGCCTAATGTCTAGGTACAATGCCTCGCTTTTAGGTCGAAGCGGACTTAGAGAGGACTCCAACCTTGACCCAAGCATCTCGAATCGCATCTCCAACCGAAGCATCTGGAAATTCCTTTCCTGCAGTTTCGACTGTTACATTTGCAAAGGTCTTGAAGTCGCATCTGAGCGGAATTTTGCCTGAAATCATGGTCTTGTACCACACCTTGCCAGCCTTTTCCCACGAATTTCCGCCCAAAGATTTTGCAGCGAGATAGAATGCATGACTTGGGATTCCAGAATTGATATGGACGCCTCCATAGTCCTCGCTACCGGTGTAGAGCTGATCCATGTGCTTTGGCTGTGGGTCGGTACCAAAGACTGGATCATCAGTGTAGGCCTTACCTGCTTTCAAGCTTCGTAAGGCCGAACCGGTGAAGGCTACTGGAAAGATAGTCTGTCCAAGAATCCAGTCTGCATCCTCGGCGGTTTGACGCATATGCCACTGCTCCACCATGGAACCGAAGACATCGGCACATGACTCGTTCAAGGCGCCAGACTGCGATTCGTACTCCAAGGGTGAGGAGTATTGAACGAAGCCATGGCTTAATTCATGGGCAATGACATCGAGAGAGTCTGTTAGATAATCAAATGAAATGTGGTCGCCATCGCCGAAAACCATCTGATTTTTGACACCGTCCCAGTAAGCATTGTTGTAGCCCGCTGGTGTATCTCGCGGTTTGTAGTGAACGCTGCCAATGAGAGGCAGACCTTTGCCGTCGAGTGAGTTGCGACCAAAAACACTGGCAAAGAAGTCGTGCGTGATCTTGAATCCATCGTAGCAATTATTGACTTGACGATCTTTGATGCGTGCCTGTCCCTCTGACCTTGCGAGCTTGCCTGGGATGTTCTCAGATTCTTTACAGTCGTATATCTTTCGATCGACCGAAGACTTCAGCTCGTCCTTCTTCAAAGGAGCTTGCTTGTCGGCTTTCTGTGTTTCAAGAAAAGTCTCCTTCGGATCAGCTATCGCCTGAAGGATGTATTCAGGGATGAAACCCTTTCCAGCCGAAGTAGGACTAACATTGGCATTGCTGGACAGTTCATGTCGATGCTTGGTATATGAGTGTGTGTGCTCAAGTGTATGTTGACATGCGGCGCGTGACTCTTCTGGGACAGAGTCTGACCCGGCTATGGCCTCGAGGATATATGGAGGCACAAAGCCGCAAATGAATTTTTGGTGAACCGCTTCCATACTAGACGAAGACTTTGTCTAGGTACAGTGAGGAATCGCTACGAAAAATTATGAGGGTAAAAGCGACTTTGGCAAGGGCTTGTAAGAATCTTAGTGCGAGGGCACGATCAGAGCACACAGAAGATTCTTTGACGATCATCCTGTTGGATGTTTATATAGGCAGCCGTCTCAAAAATGGCGGTCCGTGTTGCTTCAGCCCCGGAATATTGCCAGTATATATCCAAGTCGGCTGACCGCATTATCTTTCCACGGCGTTTGCCTTGGGTGGTAGCCTTCTACGTACGCCTGGCACAACCAATCTCAGTGGAGGCGCG